GAAGTTTTTCACGACAGCAGCAGCAGCAGCAACTACAACAGCTTCAGCTACATCCGCCACAAGCAGAGGATCATCGTCAGCATTATCACCAGCGTAATCATTGGCGGTACCGTCATCAGCATCTACAGTATAAACATCATAATTATTTCAACCTCAACTACGACTACTACAACCACCGACGTCATCATCTTCGTCATCGTCACCATCGTCACTTAATCAGGTGTCTCCACAATTTTCTTAGGCTCTTTTCCAGATGCCATTATTTCAACAACAGAGATAACAACATCAACAACATTAACCACAACAACAACAATAACAACAACCACGACAACAACAACAATACTAACAACAACAATAGTAACACTAATAGTAATAATAATAATAATAGTATTAGAAGTAGAAGCAGTAGTGATACAGATAACAATTATTATAATGATATCAACAGTTTTGAGAAGATTGAAACTAGCTGTTTGAATTATATCCACTCTGGCTATGACGATTGTAACGGATGTAATAACACTGAGATTAATACCGGTGGGTTTGGTTACGGAAAACCACAGAAAAAATCGCGGAACCTCAATGTTTTTGATAATTTTGTAGATAACAATTGCAGCAAAAGCAGCAGCAACAACAACGTTAACAACATCTATTTTGACAATCACAAAGAGAACAATAACGTTTACTTTAACAACAACAACAACAACAACAACAACACTATTAACATTATTAACGAAAACGGCAACAACATCAACAACGACAACAACAATTTCAAAAATTTTAGCAACTTCTCACACAAAAACCGCACCCTTTCAAAGAGTCATAGTTTAGATCCTATAAATCATGACATTAGGTCTAATAACGTTCCGAGCTACGCAAATAAATTGTATAAATCTTCTCATTGCATTTATAGAAATGACGTCATTAACAATAATAATAATAACAACATCATAGACAACAACAACAACAACAACAACAATAACAATAATATTTATAATAACAACAAAAACTATAACACGAACGTTCATAGCTTAAAAACCCCTTGTGATAGTGTTAACAACACGCATGGAAAAACCCCCAATTCATTCGAACCTGATCAATACATTTCTACAACTGCTGACCATAATAACATTCATTACATTACATTTGATTCAAGAGACTCTATTCATAATAATAACAGTAATAACGTTATTGAAGATGACATTAACAAAAATTATGACATTAATTATGACGTCAGCAGTGTTGCCGAACACGACAACTTCAATAATTTTCAGAAAGACCATTTCAAAAACAATGACACCAATTTTGACAATATAATCGACAGAATCAACACTAATAACAACAACACTAACAACAACAACAACACTACCAACAACAACAATACTACCAACAACAACAACAGCAGCAGCAACAACAACAACGAAACAATGACATCAGACGTCCAACACATAATCACATCACCCAGCTCCGTCTCCATTCTTTCCAATGCAGCTCCTACCTCAACTGATAGCGATACGACCTGGCAATTTCAAGATCTTGACATTGATTACGAGAAATTATACTACAGACAACTCAACTCCTACAACTACTTCGGCAATAACAACCAGAGTTTCGAATACTCAGATTACGACAACGATCCAGGTGAAAAAGATTTTCTAATGAACCCGAAACTAAGCAAAAAAAGCAGCCTGGATCGTGAGGATTTGAAAAGTCTGGCATACGATGCACTCATTCTTCGGAATAAATACACTAGAGGAACGTGTAGAAGACAGCTAACCAAACAGAATAATTTTTATAACTATTCGAATAACAGTAGCTTCAGCGCTGAAAGCTCTAACAACAACAACAATAACAACAACATTAAAGATGCCAATAACGACCATAACAACATCGATAACAACACTAACATTAACAAACATTTGTGTGACATTAATCATAGTTACACAGGCTTTAGTAATGCCGACTTTATTGTGAATACTCACCGTGTGAATGCACGAAATTTCTCACATAATGACATTTTCCATCAAAGCCACAACAATTACAGCAACGCCAGTTGCAGCAGCAACAATCGCAACAACAATTATAACAGCAACAACAGCAATGACAGTTTATTCAACGTCAGTAAAAACATTTCCAACATCAATAATGACAATTCCTGTCATATCATCTGTTCATCTAGCGCAAACCACAACATCGCTAACAAACTTCACATTGACAGCAGCAACAGCAGCAGCAACAACAACTACAGCAACAACAGCAGCAACAACAACAACCACAACAACGGCAACAATAACAGATTAAAAAAACGAAAGTTATTTTCGCAATTTCGTAGCAAGTGCAAGAGTTCTGATAGCGACTTCTCAAAACGCGTTGACGGCTGCTACAACTACAACAAAAACTACAAAAACTTCAACAGCTTCCAATCCTTACTTGGTACATACAACAAGAATAATGATGATGAATATAGCGATGAGAATGAACGATTGGAAAACATTTACGAGGACAACAACAACAACAACAATAACGACGGCATTGATGACATCAACTACAATAACAACAACAACAACACCGACAACAGCAATATAAGCGTTATCACCAGCCATTGCAATGATGTTACTGGCGTTGTTTTGCCCAATAAGCTTAGCCCGCTTGTGGAAGCAGCAAAAAATAAAAACAAACAACCTAAAATTAAAGTTGCGCGCTCAATTGGATTACGAAGGAATGCTGACGACGATGTTGTTTTTGTTGGGAATGATGATAATGAGCTAGATGATGACGGTAATGAGGTTGTTGCTGATGATGATGGCTTATTTGAAAATGAACACAGCAATGTTTTTTGGTCCACAAAAAGCTTTCAAGAGTCTAGAAGCCATATTAGTCATGATTTAGAAGAAAAAACACAACAACAACATAATCAACGTTCAAAAGAAGTTCATCTTTCATGTCAACATTTGCAGCAACAACACCAACAACATCAGCAACAACATCATCATGAACAACTACAACACTGCAAAATCGACATGATATTCAACTGCCTCAACCCAAAACTCCAACACCGAAAAAATATTTCCACAACGCCAACAACAACATCAAACGCGACAACAAACTCATCATCAATGGCTCTGTCCACCACATTGGCAACAACAACGACAGCAGCGGGGGCAGCAACGACATCAAACACAGCAGCAACCACAAACGCACAACAATTATCTCTACAATCGTCACCACCTTCACCGCCGTTAACTTCGATGACTAATAAAAAGTGTGGCTTCCGTTTAGGAAAACGTAAATTATTGACGGACAAGAGGAGGTTCGTTTCAAATTGTTGTCTGGTCTGTGCTCTCTTCGGAATTGTGGCCATGATTGTTGAAACTGAAATGACCATGGCTAATGTTTACGACAAGGTCAGTGCATCAGCCGTTCATTTCTCAACTCTGTTTGTAATATTCTAAGAAAATGTTCATGAAAATGTTTCGATAATTTTTCAAATTGATACGAAAAAATTCACAGTAAGCTACTGCATTAAACAAATTTTTTGGTTATCTAGACCAATAATCTTAGGCACACATTTTAATAATTTTGTTAGGTTTATTTTATTTGCTCATTTGCCTAAATTTAACTTCAAAATATGTAATTATATGCATATTGTTATAACCGTTTAAAATGGTGGAATTACGCTATATAGTTAATTATTGTTATATTTGTTATCTTCGTTATTATTGTAGAGGCCATATAAGGGTTGCGAATAGAGAAGTTAGCAGCGAGAGATTTGAAAGCGAAGTCGCAAATTTGATTGGTGTAGTTACTTGGATTAGTTTAGTGTCTTTATTACTGTGGCTTTCAAATAAACGTTCAACTAAGTTGGCGTATCGGAAATCTCGGACCTACGGATTAACGACAATGGTAGTAATGAGCGTCAAAGTTTACAACATTGGTGTCAAAAGTAAAGGAATCTCAATGTGCTTTTTCAAACGTCTCCATTAAATCAAGTTTATGACTCTTTCAAAACGCACACACAAACACACAGACACACACAAACACACATTATGCACATACATACATTCTATATGCAAACTTTGTTATACACAATGGAATTCAATACATTGTACATAAATATAGGCACAAGGGCATACACAGTACACACATATATACACAAGTGCATACACACATATATACACAAATGCATACACACATATATATACAAAAATACATACACACATATATACAAAAATACATACACGTACATATGAAGACTTTAATAATTTGAACGGATGTATCTATGTAGGTATCGCACGTATTTATGATATGTGCGGTTCGTTATACCTTTTTGCCTACTCTACTTATAATGATTAATTACTTCAAACTGAACTCTATGTACATGTTTCCATAATCCTTTCATCACATGTCTCTGTTTTTTGATGTTCACATTGTTCACTCTGTGTGATTTATGCTGTTTGGGCTGTTAATAACAATTGTAAATATGATGGTTAACGTGTTGATGTTTTATAATTATAAGCCATATTATTTTCCGTCGGTTTAATTGAATTAGAAATGTTATAAGTAAATTTTATTAATTGAATGTTTGTGTTTTATGATGTTTCATGTTTTATGTCTCCGCTTAGTTGTTTTTAACGTATATAAACAAATGTTTCTGTCTGTTTTGATGTCATGTTTATGAACGTATGCCTCTAAAATTCAAAGGACGCATTTTAGTTTGGTGCATGTTGTATGTCATTTCTTCATCCATACATTTGTTCTTTTTTGGGTTCGTTTATTTGTTAGCTCATCCATTTATCCATACGTTCACTTGTTTATCCATTCGTTCATTTATTTATCCATTGGTTTATTCGTTCGTCTATTCGTTCGTTCATTCATTAATTCATTCAAAGTATGTTGGTTGGTGGATGTAGATGACATATTGTAGATAGATCTAATTATTACTGCATCACATACCTGCCTGCCAGTACGTGCTAGCTATCAATCTTTAAGAACTCAACTATAAAAGAATACTTTCTTCATGGTTGATCTGATCTTATTTTATTTTTGTTAGTTAATTGTTGTAAATTTTTTTCTTCAATTTCTGAATTTAAAATTTTCCAAATTTTCAATTAAATTTTTGTAGCTATTACCCTGTTACAACTTTTGGTTTGGTGTTATATTTTTAACATTTATTCACATTTTCATTCAGTTTCGAATAATTTATTCATTTAGTGCTCTATCCATCTATCTATTTACTAATTCATCTATCCATTTATGTATTCGTCTATCCATCCATCTATCTATCCATCCATCCATCAATCTATCTATCAATCACTCATTCCCATATCAGAAATGATAAGAGACATTTGCAAATGTGACTGACCACTGCAGTCTTTCATTCATTAATCATTCCGTCGACCAAGCTTCGTATTTTCATTACCATTCATTCATTCAATGTTATCTACACCATCTGGAAAATGGTGTTTTAATGTTAGTATTGTTTTTTGATCGTTCGTTCATCTGTTCACTTGTTTATCAATCCATTCATTTAATAATTTATCATTTCATTCATCTATCTAACCAATCATTTACTCAAATCAATCCATTCATTCATCCATCCATCCATTCATTTATCCATCCATCCATCCATCCGTCCGTCAGTTCTTCCGTCCGTTCATCCATCTATCTACCCATCTATTCATCCACCCATCCATCAATTCATCTATCCATCCATTCATCCATCGACATATCCATCAAAATGATTTATTTTTTCTCTTTCTCTGCTAACGATTTTCCAGCCAAGATGATAATGACCTAAACCACAACTAATTTCCGCAACCGACTGCCTCATTAATTATCCCCAGAAACATTTCCATCATCGGATTACATGTAGAGTCTGTCTTTTTCGCTCTGAAGTATGTATGTTTTTATGTATGTATACGTGTATGTTTATATGTATGTATGTATGTATGGATGTATGGATGTATGTATGTATGTATGTATGTATGTATGTATGTATGTATGTATGTATGTATAAACTTTAATAAATGCATTCATGAATAAATACAAACTTTTATATTCAATTGCCTAATAAAACATGTAACGTCGATAATGGTTTTTAATACAGTAAACGTACGTTAATGTTGCTATGTGCGCGTATTATGTATGCATGTATGTATGTATTTTTATGTACATTTGTCCGTGTCGTCTGACGTTCAGTATTTGTACAAAAATTTGTCCTCATGTACATACAGCCTGTCGGCGTACAAATTGATCTATTCATTTGGAGGGTACGTGTGTCTGTACGTGTATGTTTGTATAAACTGAAGCGCGGATGTTTGTATACGGATATTATGTACGCGAGCTTGTGTGTACGTGTATATATATATATATATATACATATATATATATATATATATATATATATATAAGTGTGTGTGTGTGTTGGTAATAGACCATAATTTTTACAATATTCTATAAATTCTACCGAATGTTTGGCGTTAACATGTGTGTGTTTGTGTGTGTGTGTTTGTGTGTGATTTTGAATTTAATTAGTATACAGTTTTGCAAAAGTCAACTTAAGCACGGTTTGCTTATAAAAATAATTCGCAAGAACCAAATTATATCGTATTAAATTTGTTTAAAATGTAGTTATTGTTAGTGGCAAGAGTAGTGCTGGCTTCAAAAATTGTAGCGGTAAGTATTTGTGAAAATGTTCATACATGAGCCACAATATAATGTATTGTAATATAATGAAACTGTTATTATTGCTACAATTCTAGTTGCTACCATTAAGCGATTGATTTATCCACACGAGTATGTAACGTATTAGTGGGTTTTTTTTTGTCAATGATTTTGTTTCGTTTGTACTTTATTTCGTTGGTGTATAAGTGGGTATGCGTATGTGTGTGTGTGTGTGTGTATACGTTTGCATGTGTGTTTGTAAACAGAAGATAATGTTTGTTGCACAATTACAAATTTTGTCTTTTTTGTGGTTCCTTGTTACCTATATAAAAGTTAATAACATATTGGTATGAATATTTCTTCGTCCTCTTTCTCGTGGCTTATCTTTTCAGGACATTGGCGACCATCGACCTCTACAAAACCCAATCTTTAACACTTTGTAAAAGTTGAAATGTGTATGAATAAATTATGTTCATGAATATTCATGAGGTTTTAAATGTTAATTAATATATATTTACAAATCAAAATCAGTTTTTTTCCTAACACAAATTATATGCAGTAAAAACATTGAACATTAACTTTTTTTAATTAACAAAATTTGTTTTTTAATTTTGATAATTCTTGCACGCATGTTTTTTTTTCATAGGAACCAAACTACGCGCCCTAACGCAACATGAACGTGACACGCAGCTATGTAAATAAGAAGATTTCAGATAGATGTTGCTGCGTGGGAGTATTGAACTAGATTCACCACTCACACACACACACACACACACACACACACACACACCACACACATAAAAACACACACATAAAAACACATCGTATAAAATACTTCCACACACACACACACACACACACACACACACACACACACTCACATCCATGTGTACTGAGGCAAACTTAACAGAATTTTTTTAACATATTGAATTTATTATCGACTGTGACAACCAATATAAAATACAAAAACATTTCTCTTGTCTCTGCTTTAAAACAAATAAGAATATTAGAATTTTTAAAAAAGTCGTGTGAAAAACAATGATGAAGGAATGAACATATTTATGAATAAAATGAAATTATTAAATACGTTTTTAATTCATTTCGAAAAAATTGTAGTATCGCTCACTTTACCGACATAGACATTGCACTTCATTTCATATTTCAGAAAAAATATTTGTTATAACATAGATATAAAAACGTCAATCTCCTCTGCAGCAGCGTGACGTCAACAACATGGTCACTGCAGCATATTTTATCTTTGCTGGCTCCCTTTCGCGTATCTATGGTAACCAATGGTGACGTCATTTTTGTGTGTTATAGTTGGGTTGTTTAATTTTGCTATTGTCATTATTATTTATAAAGGATAATTTTATTTGTTTATTTCTGATGATGGGTGATTATGATTTGTATCATTACAAATGCTACTACAACTTTATACTTACTCAGCGTTACGTGCGTAAGTACAATTACATCTTCACTCTTTACAGGTTTTTAAATTTATTTTTTAATCATATTTGAAATGCTTTAGACATAAAAAATAAACTAAGTGGTTGAAAATAAATTTTTTACAAGAATTTACAGAAAAATAGACAAAAATATAAAATAACTCGAGACGAAATATTTGAAAAAGAAATCGTATATAAGACTTAAAAATTCAAAATTTTAAGCTTCGCTGTTTTTCAAGCCATTTTAAATCTTCTGAAGTTTATTCTAGCCTATTTCGTACTATATTTTCTAGTTC